TATCCGATCGTTAATCCAAATACAATTCCAGGTGCAAAGCCTAACCCTGCTGCTACCCAACTCAACCATTCCTCTCCTTCGTCTTCTTCTCTTGATTCTAGTGGTTCAGTTTGTGGTGATGTTGGTACTGGCACGTATATATTTCCACATATATCTTTAAGAGAAGGACCGTAAAGTCCGGGATTTCCCTCGTAGGAAGAGCAATTCTGTCGTTGAAACTGTGTGCCTTGAGGTATTGAACCTACAAGCTGATTATGTGAAACGTTTATCCACTCAAGAGAAGAAAGGTCCCCTAGCTTTTGAGGGATCTCTCCTGAAATCTTGTTTTGGGATATGTCCAGTGATTCAAGCGCTGTAAGGTTTGCGAAAGACGATGGGATGTGGCCCGTGAATGCATTTCTTGACAAATTTAGAATAAGAAGTTCCTTTAACAAACTGATGGGTTCAGGAATTTCTCCATGGAATTTGTTTCCAGAAAAATCAATGGCTGTGTAGACTGTGAGGATACGTTGCATCTTCATCTCTATTCCTTTGCTCATCAAAATAATTGAATCATAGTAGTATTCTTTGCCTCCCATGTACTTCCATTGCGTATTGTCTCCATTTGAGTACATTGCCCTCCAATTCATGAAGTAATCAGATCTTAAGGTACCCGTAAAGTGATTATGAGATATGTCAATGATTCGCAATTGCTGAAACCCAAAAGAAGCTTGGGAGTGATGCAACTCACCATGAAACTCGTTAGAGCTGAGTACAAGAACTTGTAGATTTTGTAGAGAATCCAACCACAATGGAAAAGTGTCGTTGATTTTGTTGTTTCCCACATTCAAAACTTGGAGGCTAGAGCAACTCTTTAGCGATGTTGGAAGTTTTCCCACCAATCGGTTGTGACTGACGTCGAATGACCTTAACTTCTTGGCGTTCATAAACATTTCAGGAAGACTTCCGTTGAGGCTGTTGTTATGAAGATTCAGATCTTCAAGAGGACTCTTCAAAGTTGCTAAACACGGAGGAATTGAGCCATAGAAGTTGTTGCTAGATAAATCTAGAGTGGTTGAGCTTAGTCGGCATATTGATGGAGATATTTGTCCAGTGAAGTTGTTCTTGAAGACCAAATAACATTGAATAAATCTGGATGGAATGAAGAGTGGTCCTTGGAAAGCATTTGAACTTAGATCTAAGATATCAAGACTACTTCCAGGGGAATCTTCTATGGAGCCCTTGAAACCGCTGAGAGAGTTGTTAAAAAGTACCACTTCCAACAACTTTGGTAGTCTCCATAACCAGTCCGGTACCAAACCTTTGATTTTGTTGTTAGAAAGATCTAGAGAAGTCATATTTGGTTGGTTTCTTATGAACTTGGGAAACTCCGTTATATTGCACCCTGACAAATACAAAGTTTCCAAATGTGATGGAAAATCCAAAAGAGAAGTGATGTTTGATATTGAAACTGGGATGCCTGATAAAGACAATCCCATAAGCTGCTTGAGAGGAGAAAAAGAATTAATGTCCACTGGAGTATTGACTATGAACTTGTTATTGTCAAGGAATAAATATTGTAGATAAGGTAATGAAGAAATATTCTCAATCCCAACGAGGTCGTTGAGTTGGTTATCATACAAAATAATGTGGGTCAACGACGGAATATTGAAAAGGGAGAAAGGAATAGCTCCAGTAAAAGAATTTTTACATACGTAAAACTCCTTCAATTTGGAGAGTTGGCTAATGTCAGGTGGTAGGGAACCTGAGAACTTATTGCCACAAAGATGTAAAGATCGTAGTTGAGTCAAATTGAGTAATGGAAGGGGAAAGTTTCCGGTGAGCTGGTTATCTTCAACACAAAAGAAGGTTAATTGGTTTAGATTTCCGAGCGAAGTTGGAATTTCCCCAATGAAGTTGTTATCCGAAAGATCAAGATATGTGAGATGGGAAAGGTTTCCAAGTGAAGAAGGAATCCTTCCTGAGAAATTTGAGAAGAAAAGGCTAAAAAAGGTCAAGTTTTGGAGGTTGCTAATGGAGTTAGGTATGCTACCTGAAAAGGATGTGTTGAAAAGGCTAAACCTTAGTAGAGAGTTATTTGCATGAAATTCAGGAAGATTACCTCTAAGTTTTGGATTGTTATCGAGGCTAATATTCTGTAAGTTGGGTATAAGAAAAACCTTGTTTGGAAATCCTCCAAAGAGGTTGCAACCCCCAAGACGAAGCGATCTTAAAGACCACATGTATGAAAACTCATGTGGGATTTCCGAAGAAATGTTTACAGAACTCATATCTAGTTCTTCAAGGTTTCTCAAGCTTAGTGCAAGTTGACGGAGAAATGATTTGTCAGTGGATAAAGAGCTTGGAAAATTCTGAAAAGAGGAAGCGGGAGAAAGATCAAGAGACACCAACTTGGTTAACTGAAGAAGCTCAATTGGAATTTGACCTGAAAATGAAGACCGAGAGAGCTCAAGTATTTCTAACTCCTTGAGTTTGCTGAACTCAGGTGGGATGGGAGAGGCAGTGAAGTTGTTGTAAGAAAGGCTCAAGGCACGGAGATACCGCAGTCTAAAGAGACTACTGTTGGATTTGAGCCGACCATGGAGGCAGCTATAGCTCAGGTCTAGCATAATCACAACGCCAAACTTGGCATCACATTTGATTCCGTCCCAAGAACAGCAGTCACTGTCATTCCCCCATGATCTCGTCATCAGATTACCACCATCAAGGTCAAGAAACTCACACGGCCTTTGAATCTGAAACTCGTTCTTCAACTCCAAAAGGAGATCCCGTTGGTCGGGACGACACAAGTCAGGTGTAAGAGACGCAGAAGTGTTTAAGAAACTTGAAGTAGAGAAGAGAAGAAGAATGGTAAGTAGAGAGAAACTCATTGAGTTCGAGCCTACGATCATTTTTCAGAATCAAAAACAGGAAATGTATTTTTTTTTCTTTTTCTTTTCTCTTTTTTTTTAAGTGATTGTGAGATAGTTGTGTGGCTCTCGTCCCTCTTTATATACACACGAAAGATATAATTATTTTGTCGTTGTTAAGTCACAAAATATACAGTTCGCTTAGTGTGAACAATCTTTGCCGTGTAGAAAAATTACGTAGAGACCGAACCAGATATAATTCATCAATAACGCCAAAACTCAAAATTTGAAATATGAAATGAAAGACAAGAAATCTTCTTGTTTGACTAATTAATCGTTGCTGTTTATTATTATATAGAAAAACGTTTTCCATGAGGTTTTGTTAACAATAGAAAACCTCTAACTTGTTAAGAGGTTTTATGCTTCTTCTATCAGGTCAATCAATACCTCACAATAATAACTTAAAGGCCTATGCCAACAACCAAAAAGCAAAAACCTAAAGGAAGAAAATTATATTCTTTCGTTCCGCCAAGAAATACCATTCGTAAAATATACAAATTTTTCAAAACGGAATTTTATATATACACTAGTTCTATACAAAATTTTGACAAGTGGTTCCAAACAATTTTAATAACGATGGATTATTCAGCGTGAGCACTATGTTATAGTGTACTCGTATAAAAAATAAGAGTTCATTTGAGCGAAAAATGAAAGTCTAACGTTGGTTTGTATCCCAATAATCATCACTTCAAACCAAGAACCATGAACCTTTGGTTTTCCTTTCAGCTAAACCTTGGCACTTGGGCACCGGGAACCATTTATTTGCGAGGTCTTCTCGAAGCACCCTTATCATCGTGTCACATTATTGAGAGCTCCTTCTACACCGAGCATGTAGCTCAAACCCATTTTCCTAGGTCCACTTTTTCGACTTAGGCTCTGATACCAATTGTTGGGCTGTCCAAACCCAAGACAATTCCCATTTAGTATGATATTGTCCGCTTTTGGCCAAGTGGCTCAGCCCGTACGGATTTGTTTTTAGACTCCACAAATTTATGTCATTCAGCCAAATTCCTTCGGTTACCATTTAGAACGATTCAGAGAGGTGATTGATGCTAATGTTGTCTGTAAACTTATCCAAGAAGATCAAAAACTATGGTTTTGTAAGTACCTTATTCTAATTCAATTTCATATACGATAAAAAATTGTCCTGCTTTGTACCTTTTGTTTAGTTTTAAAATTATGAAGATTTTTTCTGACTTTAAACCAACGTTCCTTTGTATGGTCGATTTAAAAACACGACGTACAAGTTTAAAAGTTCCTAAATCATATAACCAACTATCACATAACCAGAAACTCTAATCAGTAAACACCAAATCTAAACCTTTAAACCCGAGAGAGAGAAATTGCAAATGAATATGCAAATGCAAAAGCAAAACAAAGCCAACTTGAAAACTCAAACTTAAAAGAGATCCGAATCCAAAACACCGGGCGTTCAGTTATCCGATCGGTTATCGGTTCGGTTCCATTCAGTTTCGGTTCTAAAATTTAGTATCCATTCAGGTATTTTGAAATTGCGTTCTGGTTTCGGTTCGGTTCCGGTTCTTTCAGTTTTAAAATTTAGTATCTATTCGGTTATTTTGCTTTAGATATTTTCGGATATTTCGGTTATTTTGAGTATTTTCGGATATTTTTGGATATTTTTCGGTTATTTTTGAATATTTTTACTATTTTTATATATTTTCAAGTATTTTTGATTATTTGGCCTATAAATAACTAATATTTTTGAAAATATAATTGTATTTCGGGTATTTTCGGTTACCCAAAATATTTTGGTTCGGTACCAATTCAGTTACAGTTCTTTCGGTTATAGAAATTGAGTATCCATTCAGTTATTTTAAAATTTTTGGTTCGGTTATTTTTGCTTGGTTTCGATTCGGTTTATTTGTCTAGGCTTAAAAAAACAAAAGAAGAAGAAGGCCGAAGGCCTAAGGCCCATTAAATTGAAATCGAATTATCTAGAATCCAAAAACGCGTTAGGTGATTGGTGTGAGTGGGCGAATTAAATGTAAGTGGACATTATAGAAAAAAGTAGCAAGTGGAATCATTTTTTTTTTGCCTCATATAAATATTTTCTCATTGAGTCGGCAAAAAAATTCATCTCGCATTTTTCTTCTTCTTCCTCTTCTGCAAAATTAGGGTTTGTGTTCTTCTTCTAATCAATCAGAAAGATGGGTGGAGGAAACGCACAGAAATCAGCGATGGCTCGTGCAAAAAACTTGGAGAAGGCAAAAGCTGCAGGAAAAGGTAACAACAAACCAGATTCAATTTTAGGGTTTTGTCAATTTTAGGATTTTAGCCGTAAAAATCGTGTTTCTTGATGATTTTTTTGTTTGATCTCTCTTATAGGTAGCCAATTGGAAGCTAACAAGAAAGCTATGTCGATTCAGGTAATCATTTTTTGACTACTAATTGCTTTATATCGTCTTCGAAATCATCGAAAGATTAAAGTTTGTATTTTTACAATTCTTGATTTGTAGAATTGGTTTTTCTTAATAACTACAATTAGTTCTTGGGATTGTTTATGGATGGAGTCATGATACCTTAGTTTAATTGTCTTTGTAATTTACCCGATTCGTCGTTTTTGTAAGATTATATCTCATGTTGATGCACAATTTCTTGATGATCCTATAAATTTTGTGTTCACTAATTTGTTACATGTTGATGTGTTTATAGTGCAAGGTGTGTATGCAAACATTCATCTGCACGACATCGGAAGTGAAATGCAGGGAGCACGCAGAGGCGAAGCATCCGAAAGCCGATGTTGTCGCTTGTTTCCCTCACCTCACCAAGTGATGAAATCTATTATATCAACTATAAAGGATTCCAATGTAAAACGTATGGTTCCTCCTCTTTCCTATGTTTGTATCAAAGTCCTGACAAATTTATGGTTCTGTTTCTCTCTTTACTTAAAGACTTGTTTTCAACAAGTCTCTTGCTATGATCATATAATGAAGCTTTGTTTGGAACTTTTTAATATATAAGTTGGCTTGTTTTTTTGCTTCTTATCAGAATTAGTTTTCTTAAGTATAAAAAGTTACCACAATTTTGATACAACTTTCTGGTGTTTTTGGGATTCTTACAACAACATCATCGCAAAGTTTTTGGTTGAAAAATAGTAGTAAGCATCAAAATCAAGCTTCGGTTTCACTGAGTTCGTAGTCTGCTGCTCTCTGCGGCTTTAACTTGAGCGAAGTATGGATGATCCTATAGATCAATAGGGAAACCAGAGATTATAAGTTTGATGAGATTATCAAGTAAAAACAAAAATAACAAGATGGGTGTCTACGAAAAGGATTTTACCATGGCTTCTCTTGCGGTTAATCTTTCTTGATGATCATACCGAAGAATCTTATCGAGAAAATCAATGGCCTGAAGAAGTTCATACAATGAGAGTCAATTCACCCAGTACAAACTGAAGTAGTTTATATTTTATCAAGAAAGAGTAGAACCTCTGGAGACACTAAGTGTTGGTTGTCGGCATTAATAAACTTGGACCACGGTTTCCTGTTATGCCTGCAAATGAGAGTGACTTATATTATAACTCATTGGCCTGATATTAACCTAGCTCGAGTTGTGCGAAGCAACAGTTTTCAACTTCTAAACACAAGAGAATCAGGGTTGAAATAAAACCTTCCAACAAGTGCTTCCAATTGAGGCTCAAGATCCAGCTGATATTTATTAAGGTAAGTGTTTAACTCATCGGTTCCCAACACCTACACACGCACAAATTTCCAACAAGAAATCAAATAAATGGATCAAAATCTACAATGTAATCTATTCAAATAAGTCGGCAGCGTAGCGCTAGCAATATACCTTGGCGATTTTGACAAGTTGATCATGATTATCATGACCATAGAAGAACGGTTCCTTGCGAAATATCTGCAGAGCATTTGATAAGTGAATAAAGCCGCAACAACAGATATCACCAATGTTCAAAGACGGCAAAAACAAATTAAAATCAGAAATTTTATTGCTTATAATAACGTCAACATCGAGACGAGAGAGAGAAGTGAGAGGATTCTCAGTTCTCACCATGCCAGCAAACATGCAGCCAAGGCTCCACATGTCTAAAGAATAGTCATAATCCTGTAGATCCACTAGCAGCTCGGGACCCTTGAAGTATCTGACAAACAATTCCCAGACTTTCAGTATAACGACACCAAGGCAAGTATCTGACAAACAATTTCAAATAGAGCTGTGGTATCTGATATTACCGTGAAGCAACTCGAACATTATACTCTTTTCCAGGATGGTAGAACTCAGCAAGGCCCCAATCTATCAGACGAAGTTTACGCAGCTGATGATCTATCATGACATTATGAGGCTTAACATCCCTATGCATTATTCCTTGAGAATGGCAGAAATCCAAAGCCTGAAATGCAATACTTTCAGCTATGGATTCCGCGATAAACCTTTTTATGTAGGGTAAAAGTCATTTATGGTAAGCACCCATTATAGAAGAGCGATACATTACCTTCAGAAGCTCGTAAATATAGTACCGGATATCGTAATCAGTCAATGTAGGATACAATACTTTAAAGTCCACACTGTTGACAAACTCAAATATCAAGCTAGGTGTTTTGGAGTGCTCATCTCTGACAATATCATACAGCTTAACAATATTTGGTCCACCACATAGGTTCTGAAGTATTTTGATCTCCCTCTTTATCTGCATAACATCAAAGCAATGACTAATCATCAAGTATCTTCATGTATGCAAAATGTATCAGAAATTAGTTCTACTAACTAATCACCTTCTTCTTTTTGACGGGTTTGAGGATCTTGATAACGCAACGTTCATTCGTATTGACGTTTTTGCCTTCGAAAACTTCACTGTATTTTCCTCTACCAACTTTCCTCACAACCTCATAATCATCTTGATGACTGAAAGATTTCCACAAAAGAGTCACACAAAGTCTTTAACAATCTTACTCAGATGAATTTCAAAATCCAATATTTGCTAATAGATACTAAAACACAGTGTCTTCAAGAAACCTAAGTCCAAACCCTAAAAAAATAAACTTTCTCTGATTCAAATTCGATTTCGCAACAAATCAATCAAATTCCTTCTAAAGACACATAAAAAACATCACAAAGAATTCAAAATCCATGAAAAAAAATCAAAAATCAAGAAAATTTACCCCCATTGAACAACGAGAGACTCGTAGTCCCAATACTCTTTAGGACGCACAACGTTAACATCTGTATAAACCCTAGCTTTCGACATTAATTTCGATCTGAAAATAGAGATATTTTTTAGCTTTTAGCGATCACAAATCTTCTCTCTTTTGGTTTCAAGTGGATGATGATGACAGAAGAAGTGCGTTGCCCAGGATTAGAAAAAAAAAAAGGTTGAAGAAGAAAGAATCTATGATAACCAAATCTAACCGATCAATCACACTTCAACCGAACCGAACGGAACCGGTTACTCAATCTGGTTAAACGATTCAATCACAATTTTAACCGGATATAACCGTTAAAACGACAGCGTTTCTTTTTGTTTCAACTTTCAAGTGGACGATGATGACAGAACAAGTGCGTTGCGCAGGATTAGAAAAAAATGTTGAAGACGAATCTCTGATAACCAAAAACCATCTAAATCTAACCGATTCAATCACACTTTAACCGGACCGAACCCAAATCGGACCGATTCAATCACATGTTAACCGGAACGAACCGTTGAAACGACATCGTTTCGAATAGAAACCAAAAAAAAAAGGAGAGAATTAAAAAGCAAATTCGTTACCATCTCTTTTCATTTTCTGAATAAGAGGTTTAAAAAAAGACATTAATGGCCTTAAGGCCTTCTACTGGATTCACAATCTCCTCTCTTCGTAACGCTTCCGCCGCCAACGACAATCTCTTCTCTCTCCTCTCCTTCTCTTCGTCGTCGTCTCCGGCGAAGAGGAATCTTCTTTTCTCTTCGTTACGAGACCACCTCCGTCGTTTCGCATCCAGCGCATCTCTTTACCGTCAACATCTACGGAATCAACAACAACAGCAGTCGCGCGTGAAAGAGAAATCAGAAACGCTGGCGCAGAAGATCGGAAAATCTATCCGGCGTGCCGGTGCGCCGTCGAAAGCTAGGGTTTACGCTGATGTCAACGTTGTTAGACCTAAGGATTATTGGGATTACGAGTCTCTTGCTGTTCAATGGGGGTATATAATCTTCTTCTTTCGTCTTTTGGATTCTTCTATAATTTAAACCTAATTACGTCGATTTCTAGATGTTTGCGTTTGGAATTAGATTAGTTTGGGATTGGTTGTTCTGGAATCAATGTGGAATGTAGATTTAGGGTTTCGTTTCTTATTCTTGATTGATATTATCTCGTAAGGAATGCAGAATTGGTATCTGTTTTTTTTTGTATATAATCTCTTGAAAATTGCTGGTCTATGTGAACTAGATTGTTGAATTGATATCTTGAGTTTGTATGGTGTTGTTACTATTCAGAAGATCTGTATTTATCTTGAGTTTGTATAGTGTGGTTACTGTTTGGTATATTAGTATTTGAGGTAGCTCCATTGATGCTGCAGTGTACAGGATGATTATGAGGTGGTGAGGAAGGTAGGAAGGGGAAAATACAGTGAGGTCTTTGAAGGCATTCATGCTACTGATAACGAGAAATGCGTTATCAAGATATTGAAGCCTGTGAAGAAGAAGAAGGTTAGTAGATCCAGCCGCTTGCTGGTTTTTGGCTTTTGAATTATGCTGAGGATGAAGTGTGCACCTGGCCCTTCGCTTGGTTTGAATTCTCTAATATGTTTTGCTTCTCCCCTTGATACAGATTAAGAGAGAGATTAAGATTCTGCAGAACCTCTGTGGTGGGCCAAATATTGTAAAATTGCTCGACATTGTTAGAGATCAGCAGTCGAAGACACCCAGCTTGATATTTGAACATGTGAACAATAAGGATTTTAAAGTCCTCTATCCAACTCTCTCAGACTATGATGTTCGATATTATATCTTTGAACTTTTAAAGGTAAGTAATCAAGTTTCATGAATACTACACCTGGATTTCTTGGTGCTGTTTTTATTCTTTCTATAACAAGTCAAAATAAGATCAACAGATATTGTTGTTTACCTTATTTTGACTTTTGAATCCATTATTTTTCAGCTACGAATTCGTTTTTAATGGTATTTGTTGTTTTCTATAACATTTATGCAGGCGTTGGATTTCTGCCATTCACGTGGAATCATGCACAGAGATGTGAAACCGCATAATGTCATGATTGATCACGAGCAGCGGAAACTTCGTTTAATCGACTGGGGTTTGGCAGAATTCTATCATCCTGGGAAAGAATACAATGTTCGTGTTGCTTCAAGGTAGTTCCTTTTGGTTATATGCTAATTTCTCCTCTGCAGCATTCTATATGTTGCAATTGTTAAAGTTCTGTTCATAGAGATTCTAGATGAGAAAGGCATATAGTTGGGATGTAGAAGATTGCATGCGTTGAGCTCTTGAGATCTTTGAAGTTGAAACATATTAGTTAACTTCATCTTGCTGATATATACTTTTATCAATTCTCACATCATATCTGATGTGCAGGTACTTTAAAGGTCCAGAGCTGCTGGTGGATTTACAGGACTATGACTATTCCTTAGACTTGTGGAGTCTTGGGTGTATGTTTGCTGGAATGGTAAGCGTTTTAACCTATAATTAGTTAACTTGGTTTAATAAGCTGTAAATGACAAAAATTCGACAGTACATTTTGGTTATTTTACCATTCCGTAAGTTAGATAAGTGATTAATACTGTATACTCTACTGTCGCAGATATTCCGCAAGGAGCCGTTCTTTTATGGCCATGACAACTATGATCAATTAGTCAAAATTGCGAAGGTAAGATTACAAAAGCTTTCTTCTTTGAATCATCATGTCTTTTCTCCACTGAACAGATTTTACATTCCTCCAAGTTATAGCTAAAAATACGTATGATTCCTTATGGCAGGTGCTTGGCACAGATGAACTCAACGCCTACCTAAACAAATACCG